GGCCTGTTCAGCCTGGAGAAGAGAAGGCTGAGAGGGGACCTGAACAGTGTTCATAAGTACCTCAAGGGAGGCAGTGAGGAGGATGGTGCTGGTCTCTTTTCACTGGTGGCCAGTGACAGGACAAGAGGAAATTGCCAGAAACTGAAGCACCAAAAGTTTCATAGGAACTTAAGGAAAATTTTCTTTCCTGTGAGGGTGACAGAGCCCTGGAACAGGCTGCCAAGAGAGGTTGTGGAGTCTCCTTCTCTGGAGATCTTCAAAACCCGCTTGGACGCAGTCCTGTGCCACGTGCTCTAGGTGACCCTGCGTGTGCAGGGGGGTTGGACTAGATGATCTCTAGAGGTCCCTTCCAACCTTAAGCATTCTATGATTCTATGATTGTGAATCATGAAGCAACCATCCCTTTTCCCTTGTGTTAACTCTTATCACAAGTTTGAGATCCAAGTTTCATTTGGTTCCAGATCATCTTCTCTTGCGCATGACATTTTTTGCTCTGTAGCACATAGACATGTTAAACTCTTAAAAACTAATATGATGATTTGAAGAGGAAAATAGTGACAAACTTAAGTTTTTGGAGTACTTGGAGATAAATGACAATTATTTAAAATGGCCTTTTGTGAAACTGTCGGCTAGATAATTGTTTATCCAAGAACTTTCTGGATAAGTACTTTGTCATAAGTACTACAGTTGACAAAGAGAAATGCAAATGTTTGTAGAATCAGATTCATTGACAGTAGCTAGAAAGCATGATAGAATTCATTACATTTATGTTAACGAAGCAACCATTACCTAATTGCATACATGTGCATGAATTAGACTAAGATCAAGCATTCTGTGCCCCATTTTGACTGAGATTTAACTCAGTCATGAAGTGATTTGTTGTCAGCTGAATGCACAGGTAAAGAAGCTGCTTAATGACAGCAGAGGATTTGGACACTGGTGAGTGCAGTGTTTTTATGATGTGTAATGGTGGATCATTTAACCCCATCTTTCTACACAGAGTGCTCCAAACTGTTGCAGGGAAGATGTAAGCTTTACATAAATCATGACTTTCTTTCATATGTCTCTTCAGAGACATTATTGTCAGGCTACGTTGTGTTACCTAAAAGTGCATCTCTTTGTGACTTTAGCTGAGAAACTGGTTTGCAGGCTTTACCTGCTGGAACTTAGAAGCCAAGTGGGTTTTGTTTTTGAAACAGTTACCTCTGGATCTGTCACAGATGTTGCTGTGTGAGTAACAGATGTTACTGTTACTATGCAAGTAACTTGAGAGAGTAAGTTCAAACATTTTTACCAAAATTTCTCCCACTAGTGAGAAATGATTTAGCATGTAATGAGACAGTAAATATTCAGGTATTAAATCTGTGCTTTTTCATTTCTCTCACTTAAAAAAAAAAAAAAAGTCAGGGACAAGATTGATGGTTCACTGTTAAGTAAACTTTACTTACTACCTCCAGAAAATGCCATTGTTTGCATTAGGTACCATAACATTTCTCAGTCAAAGTTAGCACATTAGCTTCATTGGATACGAGTAGAAAGCGCATATGTATTCTAAAGGAGAAGGTATCAGTTCACAAATGGTTCAGGATGGAAAAGACCTGTAGAGGTCATCTAGTCCACCCCCACTCAAGCAGGGTTAGCTGAAGTAGATTGCATAGGACCCTGTCCAGATGGCTTTTGAATATCTCCAAGGATGGAGAATTCACAACTTCCCTGAGGAACTGGTTCCAGGGATTTTTTGCCTCCCCCC